CACACACACACACACACACACACACACACACACACACACACACACACACACACACACACACACACACATGCTTACTGAGTGCTATGTAATTACTTCACCAAACTGTTCACACTTTTCATGGTAAACAATAACATTTCATGTCATATTTACCTTTGTAAGTGTTGCTTTGCTCCTTTGATGTTCAATAATAACTGGCGTCATGTTTGCTGGTGCCCATATCCAGCAGTCACCATGCGAGAGGCGGGGTACACCCTTGGACAGGTTGCAAATTCATCACAGGGACACAGAGACAAACAGCTCGTACTTCTGTGAAGAACTGCCTACAGTGTCATTAAATAAGCTTCTCATGGTGAATTATGTTAATGATGTCCTGTGCAGTTAAAAAAACAAACAAAACTCTCCATTAAAAAACTACCTGCGGATGTACTGTGGTGGCTGATTTAAATCCTTCTTTTTAGTATTTAAATGATTCAGTTGGGTTTTATATAAATTGGAACTGCAATGCTTTGGTTTGAAATTTTCCTTATTCTAATTTTACCATCCTCTCTTTTGCCCCTTTTCTGATGTGTGTTTCAAAGCAGCTGTTTTGTTTTTAGAGTTCCTTTAAATCTAAACGAGATGCTTCACGCCCCGCCCACCTCCAGCTTTCAGACCAGTCCAGTCTAGTTTAGTAGAAGGCTTTACATTTAGTAGTAGGCTTTACATTGACCTTGTGGTGCAGAAGCATTTTATTTACAAATTATTTCACATGTGTCAACAAGGGAAGACTTGTCCATCCAGCCTTATGTTGGAGCCAAATTCTGACCCAGAGGAGAATGAAGATGACTAAATTGTAGTAAGTCCAGAACTTATTAAGAAGTGTTGTCGCAAACAGTTTGACATAATAGTTTAGAAAACAGAGAAAGCTGAATGGGTTATAAAATACGACCCAAAAGGTATATAAAGACATCCACGCAGCACCAGGAGAGACTAAACTCAACTTTTCCGCACTCCTAGAGATTCCGAGTACACAAGAACATTTATTTAAAAGGTAACCAAAAATGTGGATTTTGAATATCTCTCCTTTAAGTTAAAAATCCTCTTACTTAAAAAAAGCCTTGATCTTAAGGATCATTGTAACTGTACATATTGTGCAGGAAAAAAATGAACACTGATTTTAATCTGTGGCTGTCAACATGTTCACATGTTCTTAGTGGCCTTATTTATCCTTTACCTAAAGGAGTTTGTAAAACTTTTACTTGACATGTAAGCACAGCTATTAAATCTGTTCACAAAACTTTAATTTTCATGTTTTATGAACACATTTGGCTTGTCGGGGGAAACAAAATCAGCTTGATGAACTGCACCTTGTACGTTTGCTGTGTTTTAAGAATGAAGATGGACCTCACAGAGGTGACTCCTGATTAAATTGATCAGCTTTATTCTCTCCAAAGAAATTATCAATCATTTGATTTTGTTATTAATTTTAGGGTCATTTGGGACATTCTTTATCAAGTGAGCTGAACATTGTGGAGAACATTACAGTCTTATTGGAACAGATACAACAGATGGTGTAGACATGGCAGCACTGATTGTGCTGAAAAGCAGCCAGTTGGCCATCATGGAGGGAAACAGGATGTTGTTATTGAGTCAGAACTCAAACACACATTGTTCATCAATGTACATCACTCTACATGTACATGCACACTGATCTCCTGTTGCTGTGATAAAAAAATATCATTATTTGTTGCTACAAAATGTAAAAAGTCGTTTTACAGCTTTGTACTTCTTTTCCCTTTTCTGTGCAATCAAACCTTTTGGTATTTTCATCTTGTTTCATAAAACAACCTTAATCTTTCAGCAGTTTTCAGAGATGTTGGACCACCGTTTAAAACAAAGGGTCAAAACTGCACATTGTCTGATTTTCACACTCATTTCCCTTTTCTGTGATGACTTTGATGCTGACTTTGACACGTTGTAAATGTTTGATGCGCTCCACTGTCAAGGGAGGGGTGGAAGAATGTAGAACTCAGCAGAGGTTTAGAAGATTGTTGGTTAATGTCAGAGTCAAGAATCAAAACCATATTTTAGGATTACATATTTTTCTTGGTGAGACTGGGTATAAATTCGGATTTGGTCCATTAGAGTAGTTGTCCATCATTTGAAACTTTCACTTTTTTTTAAATGATATAAAAGAATAATGCCAATGAGCACAAGGTATAGAACCTGTATTTCCTTGTATTTGTGAAAAGTCGCCAGTGTTGGCAAAGCTCTGAAGGAAGGTTCATGATGAAAAAATTAGACATTTTATTACAAAAAATTATTGTACTGCTGAAGCAGGGTTTTTACAAAAAAAATCACAAGCCTGTTTTGCCAAGAACAGAAACAACAAAGACAATGATCCAACAGATAAACCTGGAAACTATCTTTACACAAAGGGAGGTAATTAATAACAAACACAAGAATGTGCTTAATATTTAGAAAACCAAAACAGAGAGCAGAAAGCAAAACTAACAGAAACAAATCAGTGGCGTCTGCAACAAATAAAGTTCAACTAAGATCGTTTTTCTTTGTGTGTGTGTGTGTGTGTGTGTGTGTGTGTGTGTGTGTGTGNGTGTGTGTGTGTGTGTGTGTGTGTGTGTGTGTGTGTGTGTGTGTGTGTGTGTGTTGGCAGGCTTAACAAAACCTGACTCAGAGAACAGTTATTACAAGTTATGGTTTGTTTTTGTTAACTCAGTATGTTCTTTTCAAGCTCAATAGACATTCACAACAAAAGACACATGCTGTGCTACATTTGATGCCGTTAACTTTCACCAAGTTGTGGTCATTTTTGTGTGGCTAATGCTAATTAACTGTGGAGACCAGCTTGAATTGGGCAGACCTCATATGTTAATCAGGTGTAGATGTGGAGCAAAAATTACTTTTGTGCTTCACAATAGTCTAAAAGTTAACTTAAAATTAAACTTAAAGTTAATGCCACAACTCTAAACATAAAAATTGACAGCATACGATGCTCAGACTGTGTTATGGATTAGTATTTGCTACTACCACACTAAATTTTAGCTTTATCTGTTAAAAATGGCTGATTATAAAGATATTTTTTTGTGTTTACTGATGCTGCTTGGCTACTGTGACAATTCTGAATTGGACTGACTTTGGACATTAACAAGTTGTAGAGGAACAAATGATATCCATTGGTTGATTTCAAGGAGTTTCATTAAAAGCCATTCAGTGATTCACAATTTAGTTTCCAAAGCTCCAGCATGAATGGTTTGCTGCTTTAAAGAATATATAAAAATGAACATATGATATCATTCAACTGTCTTCTTCAACAGTGGACAATAAACATTAAGCAATTAATTAAATCAGCAATATAACAGACTTAGTCAAAGTCAGAAAAACTATGAAAACATACACTAACATTCTAATTCTGATGCTTTTGTCAAGCAAGATTTTTATTTTCTGTTATTGTAGCACACACAGCAACAGCACATTTTTGTTTCTAAGTATATTTATCATAAATGTTGTGCTGAGAATTATGCAAATCATCATATAGCATGGGCATAAAGCAAAAACAGCACAACAATAGACTTAACGAAACATTTTTCTCCAGAACTATAAAATGATACTTTCATGAAAACAAGAGACACCTTTGACAATCAACCTTTAATTTAAATGTAATGTAATGTAAATGGCTCGTGCTATTTTTTTCTGCATTTAATCAATGTTACTTTACTGTGATATTTAAAAAAAAATACAGCCACTGCAGCATGGATGTTTTTCTTGCCCTAAGGATTAAAATTGTATTAGTGGATAAATGAAATTAATTTAGATAAATGCAGACTTAATCAAGATGATGACATTTGAAATCACAGATGAATTAATGAATTGTAACACATTGTAGACAAAACAAGGAAAATATTTGCAGAACACAGACATTAGAGCTCAGGCTCTCTGCAAACAGTTTCTCTATTTTTCCTACATCCAATGCTGGACTCTTATTATTTTGTCCTTCAAGGTGTCCAGTTCACTTTTCACTCCTTCCACCTGGAGGATCATCACGACTACCTCCTGATAACAGAAAATGGCAGCTTCGCTCAGCCCCTGGCTCGACTCACTGGCTCGGAGAGGCCTGCGCCGGTTAACGCTGGCCTGTATGGGAACTTCAAGGCCCAGCTACGCTTCATTTCTGATTTCTCCATATCTCTACAGGGTTTCAACATCTCCTTCTCGGGTAGGAAGGCATATGTCGCCTCTGTCTGTTGGGGGGAATGGTGGGAGAGAGGCACTGATACCGTCGGTGCGTCGAAATGAAATGTTTGAAAGAAGGATGGAAGATAAATGGTGTGGAAAAGGGAGGAATAGGAGGGTTCAAAATGTGGTGGGTGGTGTTGTCGAGGAAAGGTAAAATGCCAGATTGAAAGGCAGTGACAGGCAGACAGAAAACTGAAAGAGACTGTCTCCTTTCAGTGAAGAGATCAAAAGCTCGGAACCTGTCTGAAGCTTGCATAAAGTAACATGTAAGGGTTTTTTTTATTCCTTTGTCGGTCAGTGGGCTGAATCATGCCTCGGGGCTCGCTGTTTCGAGGCGCATCATTACTACACAGGGAGGTCATACAGGTAGTAGGTGTCTGACCACGATAATAATACTCATCAAAGCATGTGGGCCAGTTTCCTGAGGACTGAGGAGACTGCAGTGTACTGAAAAATGGGCTCCATACTGAGACCAAGGAATGGATAATTACAGAGAAGTGGAAATATATGTTTTACAGAGAGATATAGAGTGGAGGTGAGACAGATGGTGATGCTGAGCGAGCAGAGTCAGGGCAGAAAGAGAGCAACGTCGTGCTACAGAGACATAGTCAGGAAGAAAAAAGAGGAAGTCTCTGTTTCATGAGCCTTCTTGCTAAATATTTGCCTGCTGTTTGCTGAAGTGAAGCATAATTTATGCAGCCATGAATATTTATGAAACCGTTGCTGATTGTGTGGGTTTTTGTCCTTGCTCCTATAATTAGCAACTATAGATTTCCCTGATTAGAATTCATTTTTTGACCTTTTAAGACCTTTGATCAGATGCCGCCGATGCTCTCAGGCCACATCCTACCACCACTATAATGCTCCGCTGGGCCCAAATCAATAGGCCCGTATAGTTCTGCATACCGGCCAATACTGGGAGACTTTGAGAGAAATGCTGATGGCATTAAGTTGATATTCTTCAGACCCAGTCTGAGTTGCGTCTTCTCAAATCTTAAAGCCACCAATCACCATCCATGTGTAAAAAGATTTGCACAGAGGGTGGCCTGGTTTTTCAAGCCCATCCTTCATCTAGACATCTTAAGCTTTGGGCACGTATCCCAACCTGATGAAGTGTCCTTGAGCAAGATAGTTAATCCTCCCCTCCTGACAATATTTCTTTCTGTGGCTTGAATGTGTAGTTGCCTTTGTAGCATGAATCGAGCCCTGATTGTCAGGGTTCATTTAGGATCAGGTTTAACCAACAGTGTCATTATCTTAAATTTGTGAGACGGGGTTTGCATTTGTCCCCGCCGATTTGTTCCTGTGTTGAATTCTTGTCGCCGTCTTTGCAGAGTACAATCTGGAGCCCTGTCAGGATCCCGGAACCCCTCGGTTCGGCTGGCACACGGGCTCCAGGTTTGGCATTGGCGACTCGCTGTTGTTCTACTGCAACAAGGGCTATCGACTCCAGGGGGCCAGGGAGATCGTGTGCTTGGGGGGCGGCCGCCGCATGTGGAGCGCCCCTCTGCCAAGGTGTGTGGGTACGTGGTCAGCTGCTTTTCTTTTCTTGTTTCTGTATTACTTAGACATTAGTCAGTGTTGACATACAGTAGCGTTCGGAACAGATATGAACTTTTATGAGACACTTAATGAGTAATCGAAAATGTCCACTAAGAACAGTTCATTCTCTAATCTTCTGTGTTTGTGTTGCATAAGAGCCGGTGAATGCTTTTACAATGATCATTTAATAGTCTACTCAGCGTCTCATAATGCGTCACTGCCAGTTGATAATGATTTCTACGACAGGAAAGTAATAATTGTTCATCCAAAGAAAGCAGTTAAATTGTACCTTTATCTCTTTAGGTAATGATCTAGTTAAGCTATGTTTATTTGATCCCATTTGCAGAGCAAATTGTTGTAGAAGTGATTTTGTCCGACTGATTTTGTGCTTGTTCGTTTTCCTGCAGCGGAGTGCGGATCGACAGTCTCCAACAATGAGGGAGTTCTTCTGTCTCCAAACTACCCGATGAACTATGACAACAGCCACGAATGTGTGTACAGCATTCAGGTCCAAACAGGCAAAGGCATCAACATCACCGCCAGCACCTTTCAGCTTGCGCAAGGTGACATCCTCAAGGTAAATCATCCCATTTCCTTTTCTTTGCTAACAGGAAGTAGATAACAAACAAACAAACAGGGAGCCTGCCACAGCTGAATAAATGTGTGTAATTTCATATTTAAGTATGTGAACAGGGTCTTAGTGGGTTTTATTTTGCACAAAAATGGGATTCTAAAGGAGGGGTTTGATGTAGAAGTGCCAGCCAGAACACATTTTTGTTCTGACATAAAAATCTGAGGTCAAACAACAAACTGCAGCAGAATCGCTTTCAGAAGCAAAACATATGTATCTCTTTGCTTGAGGACATTTTATCAGTTTTGGTAAGCATCCCCAGATGGGATGTAAATAACTATGTGCCATAAATTGCTACGCAATCCTCACTTCACAGCTGGAATACACTCTTTTGGGATGCAGATGTCTTGTCGCATACTTTAACTAACTTAGGTATTGTTGTAGGTTTTTCATATTGCCTCATATTTAGTCCTTTTTGTGAAAATCAGAAATGCAGATTTGGTCTGAAAGAAAATAAAACACTGCCTCTAGATTTTCAGAGAACATCCAAAAGTCTTTTATCTAAAGCCATTTCTTATATATCCATCAGGAAAGGTTACATACAGTATATTGCTGGAACAACATAACTGTTGTTTTGCACATAACTTCTATAAGTTGTTGTCAGTAAAAACTGTTAAAATATATACAAAAAAATCAATATTTATTGATAAAAAGGCAAAAAGTTAATGGGTAATGGACTGTACTTATGTAGCTCCTTTCTAGCCAACCAGACTACTCCAAGTCCTTTATAAAACAATCTGTGCTCTCATTTACCCAGCCACAGCACTTTACTCTACTCTACTCATGAGTATTACGCTCTTAAGGTTGTGCACTTTAAAAGTTTTAATATAGTTTTTGGATTATAGCACTGAGTTAAAAGTAATTATTGTAATGTGTTTTTTTAAGTTATGCAGTTTTTGCGAGTTTTTAGTACATAAGAGCTAACATGTTTTCAAGGACAACTTTAATTTATTATTAATGCTATTTATTAATTACTGAGCACAAGCTGAAGCAAGAACTAATAACTAAGTACTATCAGTCTCAAAAGTTTTAATGTCCATACACGTCCATCTCAACCCATGCAGCACAGACAGTAGAGCTGTGACTGACCTTAACCAGCAATCACACTCCACATACACAACAAACACAAACCAGTTGCCCTTTTTTTCTTTTTCAGTATCTTATCTACATTAAACAACAATTACTGCAAACCTCGCCTGTAATGAATTCTAATCAGAAAGCCAAAGAAAAAGGGATAACAATAATACTGTCACCTAAAATTAACTGAAGCATTTCATCGTGATTTGAGTGAGCTGCAACTGCTGTGTCATGGTTTGAGTTTTTGGGTTTTGTTTGGATTTTAATGCATTTCTCTTTATGCTGATTATGAGTTTGATGTCTGACCCTTCCTGTCACTGTCTCTAGATGTTCTCAGTTTCTTAAGTTTTCTCATTTCTGATGGGTTTTCATCAGAAGTTCTCAGATTCTTTGCTGACATCGTCATCTCTTGTAATGATTTGGTTTGCCTTTGGATGCTCTGTACATTTTCAGTTTAGTCATTAAAATTGGCTTTGATAATCCTTTTGCCTCCTTTGTGTCCTACATTTGTGTTTTCCCTTCAACTACCATCTGTCATTTTAAGACTCTATGAACTTGCATACCTTTAAATTGTTTTAGTGAGCTGATAGCTTGACCCAATCGTACTATTTTTTTTCCTGATTGTCTGCGGCAGCACTCTTAAAGCATCCCTTTCTAATAATTTGTTTAAAGAAAGTCAAACATAAACCAATAATATGAAACAAAAAGACATTAACAATCAGACAGTTTTTCTTTAATTATTTTTTTTCTAATATAAATGGAAAAACTCACAAACTCTTTTTGTCTTTGTTTAGCTTTATGATGGTAAGGATGGAACAGCTCCACTCCTTGGCACTTACACAGGCACGGTGATGCAGGGCCTGTCCCTTACCAGCACTTCCAACTATTTGTGGCTTGAATTCTACTCGGACCACGAGTCGACAGCAGTGGGGTTCCGCCTCATATACCACAGTAAGTTGCATTTTATTTCCCTCGGGAATTGGGCTCCTAAACCTTATCCAAATGTGAATTTAGCCTCATTTTAAGAGCCTGGCAATTCAAGTAGCTGAGTTTAAAAGAAGGTTTTAATTGACCCTCACCCTGCCTCTTCGTGTCTCTCACTGTCAGGGAATCCATTAGGCACAGCGTGATGTTTCTGCCCCTCTCCAGCAGGAAAATGAGCAATTTTCTTTTCGTCTTTCCTGTCCTTCTGTCTCTCTGTGTGAAATCCGTCCCTTCTTTATCTTTTGCACTCTACTCCAGCAATTAGCGTCCAATGCTGCCTAACTGCACCTTGTTAAAACAATTGAATTATTGTTGGAACTGTTTGAAATCCCTGTGTAGATTGTTTGAGAAGGTGGGGTAAATGTGTGGGTTTTTTTATTTTTATTTTTTTGGATACACTGTTTACAGTGTGTGCTCTTTCCCACATGCATGAGTGAATGTGTGCATTGAAAGTTTTGGCCATCGCTCTAAGTAGGCCAGTAATGAATGGATAGAGTTAAGTTTCCCCTCTAACGGGCTTGCTGACTGTGTGTTGTTGCTAACCGTTGCTAATTTATTACTCTGACAAGAAGATGCTGTGGTGAGACTGCATTTTACTGTCCAATTTAAAGTGTTTTTGTTTCTCACCTGCAACTGAATATTCCAAGCATTATTATTATTTTTGTAAGGGTTTACTTAGTTGAAAATCAACAACTAGTCTTAAAAACAGGTTGTGTTAAAGTTCTATCATTTTTGAATAATTTAAAAGCATCTTCTTGGTACTTTACACTTAGTATGCTCACAGTTTGTGAACATTGCATCGAATGTGCCAGGTACAGATGCTAAACTATCAGTTGTCATCCTGACAGATCTGAGTAAACTAAGAAAATTTACATTTATCAGTACTATAAGCTCATCACAGCACAATACCTAATTACCATCTGTTTCTAAACACAACCGCAATTAGTCGAGTCGAAATGCCTTAATTACAAACTGCCCTGTTGAGTTACGGAGCAAATTATTATTAGGAATCACAGACAGTAATTGGTTTCTTTTGTGATTTTTTCTTCTTTTTTTTTCCAGAGATGTGCTCAAGGTAAAAAGCATTATGTAGGCCTAGCACCTTTTATCTATTTGAAAGTGCAGTCTTCATTTGGTCTTTTCACTTAGATTGAATGGCTCTTTTAAACTTGGAGAGGATTGACTGATGTATGAATCAAAGAGGGCAACGAGAAGGTGGGCTATGGCCCGCCTAAATCTTGTCTGAACATGAAATCTGATCATGTTTTCATGACTTTTTTTTACCCAAAGGCCTGAGGTAATTTTCTAAATGTGAGCATTAACTGCTGGGGATTTATATTGGCCATGACACTTGTAATACTACAGTGCTATAACACCTAGCACCGACACAGACCTCGCTGCGAGAAGAGCCCATAAATCAGCGCCGCTGGGTTTATGTGCAGTCACTGTTGCTGCATAGCAGAACACTTGTGTTTTGTACCTGGAAGAGAGGAGCCCATATAAAGGCCATGGTCGTGTTCAGACAAAAGAGTTATTGCATCGTTCTCTTGTTTGTGGTTGTTATTTAATGGCTTCTGTAATCCCAAAGTGATCCAATTGGTTGGGCTGTTTCTCAATCGTAGTAAATGTCCACACTCAATTGAACATTTAATTGTGAATGTCTAATTGTGCTCTCTGTCCAAAAGGAATCATTTACTGCCAAGTCACATAAAAGGACTGTAAGCCTTCATCTGTGCTCAGCCGGAAATTAATTCTCAAAGCTCAATCAATACCTCTTTGCAATACAAATGGATGGAAATGTGGCTCTGGCAAACAAAATAACTGCTTTTCAATGGACTTCACTAACTGCTGACTCACAGTTCTTTGTTCATAGAAGCCTACACTCATTTCTTGTTTTTATTTTTTCACTTCATTTTATCTATTCAGGTTTTGAGCTGTCTCACTGTGATGATCCAGGGGTGCCGCAGTTTGGTTTCAAAATCAGCGATCAGGGTCACTTTGCTGGAAGTTCCATCACGTTCGGCTGCGAACAAGGTTACACTCTGCACGGGAGTGGTGCACTCAAATGCATGACTGGGGAAAGGAGAGCGTGGGACAACAACCTCCCGTCGTGTATTGGTAATCCTTTCTGTTTCTCTCTCCCTCCTGTCTTCATCCTTTTCCCATTTCTCAAAAATATCAGACCAAAATCTCCATGTCATTGTGTCTTATGGTCCACTACTCTGCCACTGTTTGTGTCTTATTTTGTTATTCAGAACAGGCGTGCTGTCAACAGTGCTCAGCTAGGTGTTAATCCAAAGGATTTATCCCAACATGATTTCCACTTAATTGCTGGGTGTTGAAAGAACACACACTGCTTGTCATTTTGAAAGAGAATATAAACAACAGTGATGCTTTATTGCTAATCATTGATCTTTCTTTGTGTTGCTGATGCAGAACTGACTGTGCAGAATCATTAAGACCCCCAGAGTGAAGAACTCTCAATTGCTATCGAGCTTCCAATGCACTGCTTTGACTCTGCTTCGTTCATAGGCCACACATTTGATCAATCAGCATCTTTCTAGAAGTAGAGGCCTAATTATTTGAGTATTCATATCCTATGGATGCATGTACATGAAACGCAGCCACGCTGAGACAAAGAGCCTGAAATGTTAAAGCTATTACCTGCACACAGCGTGAGCCTAAAAGGTGTTGAGGAGCAGAATATGCTGCTGGGTGTCTGCCAGTGATGGATTAGAGTACAAATGATTTACAAATTTCAAACATGAGTGAAATTACACTTTAAATGCCATCAGGTTTTTTTTTGTTTTGTTTAGTTTTTTAATTGCCTGTTTTCAGTGAAGCATGCCTTTGGTTTGGCATAGTGTCTAGCAATGACCAATAAAGGACAAAAGACCTAAATTAGCCCATTAACTGCCTTTTTGAAAAGCACTGGATTTCTAAATGGTCAACATTTTTGTCCCTTTTGTCTGTGTTGAATGTGAAAAGAAAATTCCTGCCATTTCTTGAAGGTCACAGCCTTGCTTCCCTCAAGTACTTTCGCAACTGCCCTCTGTTATGATACTGATTATAGCTCACAATTGTAGCAATCTAGTGCAATTTTCTCATTAATTAAGTGTCCTCTAGTCTGTAATTTAGAAAGCAAGACGATAACCAGGAAAGGGATAACATACTGTAGGCTTGATGATGAGATATTTCTCAATTCATTGGCATTTTCTGTCTTTTTTTCTTTTCTTTCCCTTTTTTAACAGTGTTTATCTAGTGTTTATCTTCATCTCTCATCGTCTTGATGAGATGGAAGTCTTTTTACAGATAATGTGTGAAATCATTAGAGGGCTGAATTAGAGACAAAACACAGGAGTAAGTCTTTGCAACTACGGTATCCTTTGGTTCATTTTGATCCAAAATGTGTCTCATTTATTTCATTGAGCTGCAGTGAGACATAAGCTGGCTCGCTTGAACACGTCTCTAGAACATGTAAGGGAGCATCTCACTGGGCTGTGACTTTTGGCACCTAGTTGTTGAACAGCGTTTTCTAGGGAGTCTCAAAAATGTCTCGAAACATTCACAACAGTTCTCAATTTTCTCAACTGAGTCACAAAGGCTTCTTGTTTCAGACCTACTCAATTTAGTTTCCATTTAAATTCTAGAGTGTTGTAGTCTGACAGGCGCATGGGAACTCAACAATGTCAGGAAATATCTGAGGCTACATTCCTTTATGTCCAGGTCTGAAAAAAAAACTGGTCAAAACCTTAATTTTAAAATTGTTCTCTAGTAAATCGAGTCATAAATGTAGGGGTGGCTACCATGGTGTGTATAAAGCAGGCCAAGAAAACTACAATATGGGCAGAGGTGGACAACCAAATAATGACCGCAACCAAGAATGCACATTTCCAATCCATGGTTATGAAAATAGGCCATGGTTTTCAAAAATTGGCTGCTCAGAACAAAGTTGCATGGATTGTTGGTCAATTGGTCACTAACACTAAGAATTCAATAAAACTGCAATCTATATTTTGCCTATTTCGTTGACATTTTTAGTTTTCAACTGTCTCAACCTAATGAGATACCCCTTTCTGTTAAGATCTGTTCTCTTTGTTAAGTATTTATTCTGTCGTTGGTTCTGTTTCATGTTTTTCTAATTAGTCAGTTCAGTTTCTGTCCCCTGCTTGGTTTTGCTTCTGCCACCCGCACCTGCTCCTGCTCGGCCTCTGTGTGCAGATGGTTTTCTTTTGGTTGATGAGCTCTGACTCTTTTGTGTCCTCTGGTTTGGTTTGTCCTGGTTAGTTGGGAATTAACCTGGAATTAACCTAGTTAGTTTTCTGTTTGGTTTGTAGATTGCTATAAAACTTTTTTTTAGAAAATCTTTGCCTTTGTCTGCACTCTGGGTCCCAAATTCAAAAAATAAAATAAAATAAAATAAACACTCACCCAACATGACACCTTCTCTGTGCAGTTGTAAGATGCTTATGTGTCTCGTGTTTGTTTTTGTCTGTGCGAACAGCGGAATGTGGTGGCAGTTTTAAGGGTCAGTCTACAGGCCGGATCCTGTCTCCAGGGTATCCCTTCCCCTACGATAATAATCTGAGGTGTACCTGGACAATTGAGGTCAACACTGGCAACATCGTCAGGTAAATCCAGCTTTACATCTGTACATCTGTCAGTACATACAATCAAAAAGGGGAAGCAAGACATTCAGTGACAATCTTTTGATAAAACTAAAATAAGTTTAAGTTTATAAAGTAGAATGAGATGTAAAGGCTTCTTATAAACTCAAAGATCGATTAACATGTTCACACCTCAAGGGATAAAAACATCCTAAAGTGTTTTTGCGGTATGTTAAGTAACTAAAGACTGGGCTTAATATACCATGTCATCAAGGGAAAATGGCCAGCAGCAGCTCCATTACCGATGAATGGTAGAGGGACTTTGACAGCCCCCAGGGGAATGTTCCTGAGACATGAAAGGCCTTTTTTCTTTTTTTTTTTTCCTTTTTGTTGCAAGCTCCACATATTACTGCGAAACAGAACTCTTTTTGGCGTAAAGGTCGACGTAAACAGTCACCCTCACTGACACTTTTGGTCAGAAGAGCTGCTTCAGGCCATCTTTTGATGCGACTGCAGAGAATACTGTGGTCTTGTGCTTTATTTTCTTCAATTTGGATTAAATTTATGAGCAAAAACTTAGCTGAATTACTTAAAAGCATAGAGACAGTGATTTATGGTATTTTTTTTTGCGTTGATCTTGTTTTTCTTCCATATCAGCTCTCATATGAACATTTATTTCTGGCTGTGTTTTGACAACAAAATTGCTTAAGGGAAGGCAGACAGTAATTTAACATAATATAATTAAATAAACTGTAATACCACAATTGAGCTGATTCAGGTTTTTGTACACAAGATTATTTATCCATTTTAAATTCAGAGAAGGCAAATGCTTTTGGCTAAAAGTTTCTTATTTACCTTTTTCAGTCTCCAGTTTCTTGCCTTTGACACCGAGGCGTCTCATGACATTTTGAAGGTGTGGGACGGACCTCCTGAGAACGAGATGTCTCTAAAGGAGGTCAGTGGCTCGCTGCTGCCTGAGGGGATCCACTCCACTCTCAACGTGGTCACCATTCAGTTTGAGACGGACTTTTACATCACCAAGTCTGGTTTTGCCATCGACTTCTCGAGTAAGTGTTTATTTCTAAAATCTGCTCCATCTCTAAAACACTGATTCCCAACCTATTGTCCTCAAAGCCACCTTTTCTTACTTCTGAGCCAAGCTGAGCACCTCAGTCACTCACTACTCCTCACCTCTCCTAAAGGCCTGTTTTATCTTTAACAAAATAATAAAGTAAATAGCTACAACTTTTATTTGCAAAAAGGAATAAAAACAATAAAAACTGAGTTATAGTTTTAATCTGTCTGACAAACAAATTATATTTTCATAAATTCTGAGCAAAAAAGATTGTTGGATAAATTAATTATCAAGACACAAGGAATGATGAACGACTAGCAGCTCTCTTTCAGTAGCATGAACTGAATTTCTGTACAACAGTCAGGTTTTTAAAGGGTCCCCTTCAAAGTGGGTTGAGTGTCCTGCTATACGGACCCACAATCTCCTGTTCTCCCCAGGCATTACCCAAACAGTTCATCTATTTGGCCCACCTGCCTAAAAGGGGGTCGTAAACCTAATTATGTTCTACAAGCTAAATAAACAAGTTACAAAGAACAGCATTTACATCTGTCTTTTACACACAACATTTCCATTCACAAGTCATGAGTTCAGTTATAGTAGATAAACACAGATCAACAGCATTAATATGTCACAATTAGATGAACCATAATATTTTAAATCACAATTTAACCAATAAAGATCAATCCCCCCGCACACACACTCTGCTATCTGCCCCCAGTTTGATTAAGATTAAAAATAATTTTTACTACTCTATTTAAATGTCGAGTGGAAAAAGAAACACCATGTATGCCATGTAAAAGGTGTAATAATTTTTTTAGCATGCTGGTGTAGATGCCTAACGTCAAGATCAATTCTGTGGAATTGGGTGCTTCCAAATAGATTGAGTTTACAGATCCTCTCTCCAGTTTGCCTAAGGCTACTGGTTTTTCAAAACTAAAAGAGGACTTGTGCAGAAAGTAAATGTTTCCATTGAGAAAACACTACAGTAAAAATATTTTTATGTGGTAGTTTAGACTTAATATGTCAGTGAAAATGCAAGATGAGGAAGAGGCTTGATTGTAATTCCGCTTTCTGCAGAACATGCATTCTCTTTCCACTGACTCATTTTCTATTTCTGATTCAAATGGGATCTTTAAGACAACGTTTATTTTCGTCATTATCTCTCGTTTCACGGATGTTAAATATCATCCATGCATTTTGAAATAACAATCAAAATATTTGCTCTAGAATCGTCTGGGGTTGGCCTTGGGGTGTTGTGGTGTTTTGATGTTTGTAACAACGTGTTCTTTTCTGGTTCTGAATGTGTGTTTAATGCTTGTTTGTATTCAGCTCATCTTGTTTGTGTCTGTTTAAGGTTTTGTGCTGTGTTTTAGTCGGAGCGTCATTATTTGTTTGCTGATGGATGTGTGATTTAAGTTTAATGGCATACTGCAGTTCTGTGTCACAAAGGTAGCTCAGTCTAACACTGACTCACCATGGTAACATCCACTGAACTCATCATCTGCAAAAGCAGTTTTAGTCCAGTTTCAAATTACTTCCTTTTTAAAATTAGATCATTTACTGATGATGTTCCAGATAAAAAATAGACTTAATATTAAAGGCCTAGAATTCCTGCAAGTAATGCATTTTGCCTGCTGCCTTTTTGTTGAGGATTTTTTTTTAAATAGATCATCTTGTGTTGAGTTATAGCCATTTTAATTTATGCTGGATGTTATAAGGCATGAGCCCATGTGATAATGTTAAATATTTCTACATACATCGAGGCTCAGTATGTGTTGAAGATGAATTTTAGCATCAATAAAAAAGAAAAAAAAGATGAATTTTAGCTACCACATTAGTTCAATATTTGTAATTTTCACTAAATCATAGATGTATTTTGTGTTTTATGAAGTTGCTTAGCTGAAGCAGCTATCTTGACTGCAAAAATAGTTGTATATGCACAAGTTATTACTTTCTGAACATTTCATCAATGGATGGATGGATGGATGGATGGATGGATGGATGGATGGATGGATGGATGGATGGATGGATGGATGGATGGATGGATGGATGGATAGGTNTCAATGGATGGATGGATGGATGGATGGATGGATGGATGGATGGATGGATGGATGGATGGATGGATGGATGGATGGATGGATGGATGGATAGGTTGACAGAAAATTAATGATTCGGTGCGGAAATTTAGTGTCACAATTTGATATTTTTTCAATGCAAAAAAGAAATGCCATTGCCCATCTTAACTTGTAATTTATTGAAATGAATTATGAACATTTGTTAAAAACTCAAAACTGCAGTTTTTAAATTAAATGTTGCCAAAACAGCAAGTTTCTTAGTGGATCTGCGTTCGATAATGCAGCCTAGGTGGAGTAGTCGAACGCAGATTCACTGAGCTTTTAACACAGTGCATCTTCAGAAGAAAAGTTCATAAAATAAAATAAAAATCTGTACTGTTTGAAACAGTGCATATTGAACCTAGAGCACTACATTGAACAATTTAATACAGCTGCTTGTATTGTTTCACCCTAATTGGTGGGTAGGTAGATAGATGGGTACATAGATGGGTGGGTATTTAAGATGGATAGATAAAATCTTGTCCAGTCTTTGCACAGATTACTTACGTAATGAAATTGAACTCCAACAACTGTAAGCACAAAAGAAAAAAATACTTCACTGCAAGATATTTGAATATACTAAAAAACTTGTAGGTTGGATGGGTGCATATTCTCTGCCACCCACGATGCTTTGCTGTTGGACCACAGTGAGAAAAAAACAGTTGTGGAACAAGTTACCTTTTTTGGGATTTCACAAGTATTAGAAAACATTATTTTGTGTTTGTGTATCAGATTGTGTATTTTATTTGGTCGTTGTAGGCATGTTGTGAAACTTTTCATGCAAAAAAAAAAAACCTTCCTGCAGATGTTTTCTTGATCCAGTTTATACAACAGAGTCGCAGCTGTGTTGAACTCACAGTTATGCCCTTCTGGTCTGTTTTTGTTGGTTTTGCTCTCCTCTCACTTAGTCCTTCTTGGCTAATTACCACATCTGCTTTGTTTTGGTCTTACTGACTTAGTAATTATCAGGAATGTGAATATTAAATTGTTTTTTTTTATTGCATTTTTTGTTCTTTGTTATTTTATTATTTTTTATTTTCTAAATTTAAAAAAAAAAAGATTTTTACCAGTTCATACATTTTTCTGGTGGACACCTCTTATGGTGCCATTCCTGCTGCGTAGCTGTATTTCGTTAAAAAAAAAATTTCAGTAGCAACACTGACTGTTAGGAGTAAAAATGATGCCTAGTAAAACAGGAAGAAACACTGTTCAACAAATGTTTAGTGACTTAGTTAAACCACAGTGTTTTTTTCACTCTGAACATCTTTTTTTTTATATTTAAGATGAATCTTAAAATAAAGCTGTTTGTGCACTCATTTAATTTGGCAGTACATAGCTTATTAAATGACAATCATTTTTATTCATTGTTTTATTTTTGTTTTGTATGGAGTGACTTTGGATTGAAAAAAATGTACACATGGCCACAAGATAACACATGGTCACAAGATAATTATTGATCTCCACTCAAAAAATACAACATTTGCATTGGATTTATTTAAATAAATTATGTCAACAGGTTCTACTCAGCTGAATTGAGTAAATCTAAAACATTTTTTTTCATTTACTTTATAAGTGAATGTGAAGTAATTGTGTTAGATTTACTCAATTCAATTGTGAAGAACCTGTTGACATAATTTATTTAAATAAATCCAATGCAAATGTTGTATTTTTTGAGTGGCAGAGGCTGTTTTAGATGTACAAGTTTGATTTTTTTCCCATTTTATTATATAAATGAGTGACACACTTCAGTCCCTTACGTCAGGCATGAAGTAATTCAAAGCATTATTTGTTCCAGCGATGAGACGTGGCTGTCAACCGTAGTTCTCCAAAAAGTTATATATTTTTGAAGTAGACTTTTCTCTCACACTGTAGCTTTGCTGCCGAAGGAGTCAGAGTAATGTCACATTCAAGAATGCAGTAAAAAAATCTGTTTCCAGACATTTACCTCATTCAAATTCAATGTCACCTCTGAAATAGTAAACTATTGTGAAAAAAAAAAACAACCATTAAATTGAATCATGGAGGTACAATATTTTCTTTGGAATAAGTGTGGGGTACCTTCGAACAGTTAAAAAGAAATGCATATTCATTCATAGTCTGACTCCAACAATGTCTGTATCTCTCACAAAGCGACAGCTCAGAATGATTTTGTGGCCACGCATTTTTATTTTATTCCTTTTTATTCAGTGTCACTGTATGGTCTCTGTACCAGTGCAGAGCAGAATCATTTATTTTCAGATGTACTAGATAAATAAACACACTGGAACATGTATTTTGATATGAGATCGTTAACAGTGTATCATATTGACCACAGGCCTGAAATGCACGACCCTTGCTTATATAGTTCATGGTTTTCAGTTCCTCCTTCTCAGGATTTTGTCTCTGCTTGTATTAGATGCTCTGTGTGCTCCTTTAGGTTAAGATTTGTCCTTAGTTTTTCTGCCATGCGGTTCGTTCACAGATACCTTGCTTCACAGGGCTCCTGGTTTTGTTTTGAAGTGGGCCTATTATGAGGGTCTTAGCACAAGTTAGGATCCATCTGTGGGCCATACGAAACATGTTCATTTGATTTAATTCGCAAAAAGGATCTCAAATAATGAAATTTCATCTTTTCAGTTCTTCCTGTTCTTCAGCGCTCTCCAGAACGTACTGTATGCAGAAGTTGCTATGGAAACCCCCCTCCCCTATCCCCCCCTATCCGTTTGTTTACTTTAGCTCTGCCCCCCGACATGGTAGAAGTTTCCAAAGTGAAATTATTTTCACAAACTACAGCTTTCTTTGGCAATATTGTTAGAACATTGTCATCAAAGATAAAAATAAAATTAATCCAGGCATCTCTGTTCTCCATGGCTGCTGTAAAAACAGAACTATCGTCTTTTGAGGAAGTGGGCGGAGCTTCACCTCTGGTTGTGAGGAGCAGGACTCTGGTTTAGGTTGCTAAGTGACTATTATTGTGACGTCAGAATAGCGTGCTTTGAGAAATACCATGTTTCCATGTACCTAAAGATACATGTAATTACAGCTAAAAAAACGGCTGGGTGCATTTTTTGGTGTTTGGACTGCTTCTCTAAGCAGTAGGGACCCAGAATTAAGTTTAAAAAACATGAAAAAAAAAGAGTTTTGCATAATAGGCCCACTTTAACTTTCATTTGTTTGCATTGGTATTCTCCACTGCACACAAGCCCAGAACAGTCTGATCTAGGAAGTCAAATGCAATTTGATAACCTTTACCATTTAATTGCACGTTTATGTTTTTTTTTAAGTAATGAAGAAAAACATTAGCATTTTTAAAACAAAAATGAAACATTAAAACTTATTGGGTCAAAGCAGAGTGTGGGATAATGGTGCGATATTTAAAGGAGCCATTAGGTTCTTAGCAGATCGCTCTCAAAGCCCCAAGCTGCAGCACAGCTGCGCTTTGGCTGAAATCAGTCAGTCATTTGCTCAGCGTTAGTTACATTTTCAACTTAACAGCTGTCTGCCATGAGATGTAACACTGTGTGCATGTGTTCTCCCTTGGTTTCACTGATGTCCTGCCAGAGGATCCACATGCACATCTGCTGCTCTCTGCAAGTCATGCGAATGTTTGTTTGCCCTTCAGGTTCACTTGCAACAGCCTGCAGAGATCCTGGTGTCCCCATGAACGGCAGCCGCAACGGAGAGGGGCGGGAGCCCGGCGACTCTGTGACCTTCTCCTGCGATCCGGGTTACGAGTTGCAGGGAGAGAGCAAAATCACCTGCATCCAAGTGGAAAACAGATACTACTGGCAACCCAGCCCTCCAAGCTGCATCGGTGAGGAAGAGGGAGATAAACTGACCTGGAGAGAGGAGGACGGATATGTGGAGGTGATAGAGAAGGCCAGGTGGATTGAAGGCGAGAGTGAAGGGGATGTAAGGGATCAGAAGTAAGGGAAAAAAAAGAGATATGGTGAGAGGCAGAGGGACAAAGTATGTTTTCTTACAGGCTGCAGCAGATATGTGGGACTCCAGAGTTGCTTGAGCTGTTGCTAACTTGTATGTGGAGAAATCTGTTGCTGGTTAGACACTCAGGCCTACAGTCTTTATTAAGTCGTCTTATTAGAGCTTAGCAGCTAATTACTTAACAGTGCAATTAGAAATGATCGCACTAAGTTGTTTTTAGGAAGTCTTTAGTTACTGTTGACTTGTCTAAGAATATTTTATTCTGCCTCAGAATGACTTTTGCATTTGCAAGTTTTGTAGCACATTGACAAAACAACACAGGCTAGCATGTTTTCATGTACAAAAGCATTAGGCTAAATCAACTTCAATTACAATCATAAAAGCATGAGTTTTTTATTAACTGACAATTTACTTTAAGTTTTAATTAATTATGTGCTACATTAATATGGCCCAAAGGGTTCAAACAGTTTTTAGAGAACCAATGAAAATTGGTTGAAGATTGTCAAACAGTAGGTATTGTGGTTTGTTCTGATGAATAGATAATACTGCAGTTTCAGGGATAAAAACTCTTGAAAGCATTCATCATAGTCATTGTGAATAAGTGTAATTCGTTTTTCCAATTGTTATATTTTAGCATTTTTTTGGTTTATATTTTGTGTGCTTGTTTGCTAACCAGATTGAATGCCTTGAGTCTAAAGGCTGATTTTATCATGATGCTGAGGTAAAGTGGGTTAGCCTTCAGTGCTCTCTGTTTTTGCACGTCACAGATGATGCTAAAATCTTTCAGCTAAGGTTTTATATTTCAGCCATTTACTGTATATTAAATGACCTGGTTGTGCTCATTCCTTTCCTGTTTTAAGCTGAAGTGAGCTTAGTTAAAGACTTTACATCAGGGCATGCATACTCAAAGACATTTTGTGATCACTGCATCTTTCTAATTTTTTTCTTCATTTTTTTCTAATCTTTACAGCTCCATGTGGTGGTAATGTCACCGGGTCTTCTGGATTCATTCTCTCTCCCAACTACCCACATCCCTACCCGCACAGCAAGGACTGTGACTGGCTAATTACAGTTCACTCTGACTATGTCATTTCCCTGGCTTTCATCAGGTAATTCAACATCATCATGGTGATTTGGTAATGTTTCTTTTAGATTTGGCATGCAGGATGTGTGTCTGATGCCAGGTCAATCTGTCCTTTCCACTGATGCAGGTTTTCAGCTCTGACAAAGGCTGATGCCTTGTGTGAGAAGTGTTTCTGTTAGCATTCTATTTAAATCTCTTTTTTCAATCTCTTTAAAGCAACATTTTTATACTCTTCAAATTTAATGTACTTTTGTACTCAATGTTTTAGTTTTAATTTTTTTTTTTTTTTTTGTATTTTTTACCTCTAGTTCACATAGTCTGAGCACTTGGTAATAATCACCAAATTCTCTTTCTTATTACATTACTGTTTTTGTTTTACAAATATGTAATTTACATAGAAAATATAAAGGTTAGTGTAAAGCAGGGGTTCTTAAACTTTTTGACCTCGGGGCCCAATATGTTGAACAGAAAGAGCCACAAGGCCCATTCAGATATTACCAGTGTATGGATCAAAATGATAATTATTCTAAATCTTGGTTTAATT